GCATATTTTATGTGATTGATTCCCATGTTTACCCTCATTAATACTTTCTCTTTCATCAATCTTCCTATATCACAATTTTTTTGTATTTTTCTCCCAAATTTCTTCCAATTTAAGATCTTTTTGATGATTCTAGGAGCAATTTTTGTAATTTGAATTCATTAGATATCGCTTAATTGATTTTCTCCTTTTTTTTTTTTGAAGATCATAGTTGTATACATATATATTGCATCTATTTTTATAGTCTTTCGATTAAAGAATTATTTGTTTCTACATTATAATGGCTATAGTTATAAAAAAAAAAGTAGTACAAGAAGAACACAAGCAAAAAGAAATTGAGGTTTGTGTGATTGTCAAATTTGTATAAGTAGAATAGTTATATACATAGATACTTGTATTCTAATATTAACACAAGTTGAAATGGTGATTTGTGAATACAAGTATTTTGGATACATAAGTAATCAATTGAATTTGAAAGGTTAATTAGGCAATACAAGTATAATTGGATACTTTACACTATTTTTTCATAAACAAATACATGAGTCAACACCAAGCCTCAAGTATTATAAGAAAAATTTGACCAAAAAGAGATTGACGTTGTTGATTCTTTTCATTTTTTTATACAGCCGAATACTTGCACACTTTTGCTACCTACACATTATATTATTTTCCATTTTTTTTGTTTCTGTATCTGTCAAATATATCCATCTTTTGTTTAACAACAATGTATTCATATGTATACTATATTGGTGTATTCATTTTTTGTTTAGCAACAATGTATTCATTTTTCAAATTATAGTGTTCATATGCTAAATTGTTATACTTTATCTTGTTTAATATATTAATACATTAAGTTTTTACAAATACTTGTATCCTTGATATATTAATACTTTAAATTTTATAAATAAAGATACTAATTTGAATTTGTACAATTAATATAGTTTTCTTATTTAGTTCATTGTAATTAAAACTGTATCAGTGTATAAATAGAAAAATAAAAAACATATAGCTAGAAAAAGAGTTAAATTGTAGTCATTTTTTATAAATACCATACTTATAGCTATTAAACTTTAATAACCCTATAAATATAGTCATTTTTGTAAGTTGCTCTGAATTTTACGTCCAACTCAACCATGGTATATTAGATTGATCTATTCATTAATTTTTTTACATGAGGATATAGTAAAAAAAAAAACACAATTTAAGTTTTGATCCAGGTTTGATACTTAATTATTTTGCCAAAATTTTGACTGAATTTTGAGTTAGAAGGAAATATTTAGTTGGACAAAAATGATAAGAAAGAGCTAAAATTGGAACTCTCTAATTCAACAACTTCAATTTGGCTCGTCAATAATTAAAGGCAAATTACATATTTGATCGATCAGCCAAAAACAATTACATATATAAAAAAATATTTTTTTTATCCGATAATAGTTATCCACTATTGATTTGACACACACCTTAAGAAACAATAAATAATAGGGATAATATTATTGTAGTATCCTTTGAATATATTAAATTTGATGCTTTGAAAAATGTATTAGATATTGAATAGTATTTAACAGCAAGGGCAAAATAACATAAGAGCGTAAATTATCTCTTGATTTTTCAAACTGAACAAATATTGTTGGACAACTATTTTAAGTATAGTGGACAAGTAAAGATGGATGGAGGGGTGTGCATTATTAGGACCCGTTTGGTAGGAGGTATTAATCAAAATAGTCCATGGATTAAAATTTAGTCCAGCAAAAATATTGTTTGATTACTTTATTTAACCTAATCCATGGATTAGTTATACCTCATACAAGGTCTTATTTTATCCCTATAAAGGGGAGGGATAACTAATCCAAGGTTTAACAATCCTTGAATAAGACCCCTAAATGACTAAACTATCCCCAAATCTTTTTTTCCATTTTTTTTGTAATTTAATGTTCTTTTTTATTTATATGAGAATATTTATAAATATTCATTTAAATTCTCCAAATTCGTTCCATGTAATTTTATGATTTCAGAAATTAATATTTTTTTCTTCATGTTTAATTTGTTATATTGGATTGATTTTTTTCGGCATTTTTTAAAAATGTAGTTCGCCGATTGACCACTTGAACAGTTTTTTTAAAAGAAAATAAACTTCGTGTATTTGAATAATTTAAGTAGCCTTAAATCCATATTAAGTTTAAAGTATATTTGACCAACAAAAAATTAAAAATATACCGTGCTATCAAGGATCTCTATAGTGGCATATCACACCTCAAAATTAATATATTTTTTTTATATTTTAGTATTTAACTTGACTAGTTAAATGAAATATAAAATCTCATAATAACTCAAGGGTATAATAGGAATGAAATTTTTTCTAGAGTTTTAAACCAAACATAAGATTAGGTGGAAACAATGAACCAAACACTTGATAAAAACTAATTCCTGCATTACTAAATCCTACATTACTAATTTATGCATTACTAATCCATGCGTTAGTAATTCCTACATTATGCATCTTTGTACCAAACGATCCCTTATTGCGTTATGGCACCATATACTATATCAGACAGGCATTGAGGAATGGGGCAAAGGGAATACGAACGCCCTCCCAAAAGTGTCAATGTCCCTTACTTTTTGGGGAAAAAGACGTCTTTAAAAATTGTGGTAAAATGCTAAATAATATTCTTTATTCTTAATTAGAAGTATCGAGTCCGAATTCTAATAATGAAATCGTCTTTAGTAAGAAGGATCTCACTTCCAAAGCGAATTTAGATTAATTGAATCACAAAGCGGGTATAAGACAGTAGATAAGGACGTATGAAGAATATCCACATTATTACTTCACAGGACAAGTGTCATTACGTTGTTGTCACTGGTCTGTACCACAACTTGAGAGGATAGGCCAGATGGTTTTGTTAAGAGGATGAACCTAACCAAATTGGAATTATTGGAAGGTGTTTGAGGATTAAATTTAGCTCTATGTTTGACACCTATGCCATATTTCCAAGTTGTGGAAAAGTTGGTAACACTCTTCCAAAAGTTGAATGAAATTGGCTTCTCAAAAATTAAAACTATCCTATCTTGAGTTGTTGTATTATTCATGTTCTAAAAATGTTAATAAAATGGATCATTGAGAACATTTATTGTGTAGTGGTACCTTACTATATCATGCAGGCATTGAGGAGTGGGAGTGGGCCTATTGGGCTAAGTGGAATAAAGATGAGGCGATATATGAGCCCTTCCAAAAGTGTCATTGTCCCTCACCTTTTTGTGGAAAAGGACATAACCAATGATCATATTAAAGTCGTAACCAATAAGTATTCTTTCATTCTTAATCAAATATCTTGAGTTAGAACTTTTCACATGATCAACAGAGTCGTCTCTTATCGAGCACCTTATCCCTTAAGAGTAAAATTTCCTATCACAAACTCGGATTAGTCGAATTACAAAGTGAGTACTGAATGTCAGGCGAAAAACGTATAAAAAAGGAAAGAGACCTACATCAAGTACACAGGGCAAGTGTCATTACTATTGTTTGTCACTTGTCTGTGCCACAACTTGAGGAATAGGCTAGATGATTTTGTTAGAGGATGGAACCTACCCAAGTTGGAAGGTGTTTGAGGATATTTAGCTCTATATTGGACACCTATGCCAATTGTCAAGTTGTGGAAAACTTGGTAACCTTCCTCCAACAACAAAAATAACAGAAAGTACAAACAAATTTTCATCACATATTGTAGTTTTTCTTAATGATTGATTTGCCATTCAATTTAACCATAGCATGATATATAGGATTATTCTCCTCATATAACAATTTCATGTACCATAATTAATTACTTGCAATGTGATAAGATGTAATATTACAAGATGAAGTATCTTCAAATAAAGTAAAGTTTATATGGACAATGAAATTCAATTCAAAATTTGATTTCTCTTCCTCACCTTTTACAGTTTAGACATGTTGATAAAATAAAACAATTATGAGAACCGGTATCAGCAATTTCAGATTCAAACCTAAAAAATGATGTCACATACATTATGAATCACTCTATCTCAGATGTGAGATTCCGATACTAGCTCCAAAAATGTCAGTGTCCTTCAGCTTTTTGTGGGGAAAGACTATGAAAATGATCCAGATTATCACTTCATAATTCATAAGAGACACGTATTGTTGATTATGTGGTTGCCTATACCTACCTACAACTTGATGTCTAAGTTGGGTTCAAAGACAAAACTGAACTTAGCCTGGAACTGGGAAGGTGTTGCTTGAGGATTAAAGGTCACTTAGGGTGTGTTCTTAAAGATGGAAAACATATTCTATGGTACGGAGGAAAATGTTTTCCAATGTTTAATCGGTTCAAATGTTTCTGTCAACAAAATCTCTAAGAAAACAAGTTACTTAAAGATGATGAAAATGATCTCCCTGATAAAAACGGGAAAAACAAGTATCAATAGCAATTCTAAATTCATTGTCTCCTTCCTACACATCCCATATCGATCCACCCTATATTATTTTGCTAGAAATTATCACCTCATAACAGAACACCATTATTGTACAAGAACGACTTTCCAAGGATCATAGGACCTTCAATAAATTGAAAAAGGTAAACTGGCTGCCTTAAAAGTCTTAACATTAACTTAAGAGCTTCTTAGATCTACAGTTCAAGAGTTCTAATACAGTGTCATAGAAAGGTTGAGTTTTGCCTTTTTGAAACTGCTGTATGTCCTCTTTACCTATTTGAGAATATCCTACCGGGAAATGAAACTGATGTATGTCCTCTTTAGGCATTAGTAAACGTTTCTGTATCTTACTCAAATTAGATTGGTCGGGGATAGCTAGAAAGAGCAACGCAGACACAGGTGAAGCGCTTCTGGTTCTTCCTATTGCGCATTAACCAGAAATTGACAGGGTACTCAGGAGGTGTATGCACAAAGATCACATTAAACAAGCTTCTTGGAGAAGACACAGGCAAATAACAAAATACGCCACCCAAGACATAAAACTCCATGCCAGGGCAGGACAATACATGAACTGCTGTTTGATTGAATATGGTAGAATCCAGAACCCAAAGTTCTAGTAATCTGTTACAACCAAGTATGTATAGATAATTCCCTGAGTTTCTCCAAACTATCCCAACAAAATAGCAAAGTAAAGAGTCTAGCCAAAAAGATGATTTAGCTTCTTCCTGCTAAGAAACATGTTCCAATAAGCAACACTGCCAAGCAAATTACCAGCGTATCAGGATATCTTCGCCTTTGAGAAGTCCATTTCAGGATGCTGCAGCAGATCAAGAACAAGATGAGTCAAGTCATACACAGAGAACCGGGTAAAGGAGATAAACAAAGTAATACATGATATCATGTTTGCACCTCTGCCATAAATTTCTTGAGAATTTCTTGTTTCTGCGTCTCATCACTTGTTGGAAGACCCATGGATTTCTGTCGCTGATCAAACTGCAAAAGGAATTTCTCATCAAGCAAATTGAAGTAACTAGCATCATCACACACTAAGGGCATAAATTACAGCCAACAGGATTTCTCAAAAAAGCAACTAAAGTTGTGGGATGCAATATAATGTACATTTCTAATCAAATAAATGTACCTGACAAAGAATAAACGGCTAAACCAACCAGCCTATCAATAAAGTTGTTCACGGGATGAAGCGTAGACATCAATGATGGCTAGGTGGCAGAAGCAACCTAAAAAAATCAGCACTATCTAAATGATACATAACCTTTTTTTCTTATATCCTCAAGCCAAGTATGAGTCAGTTTGTTAATTACCAATATTAGCTTCAGGATCACAGGAGACACCGTAATCCAATAAAGAGCATGGGAAAGACTGAAATCTCCAAGCAAAAGAACTGAAATTTATGAATCTTACCAAGGATAAAGATTTAAGCATCTGAAAAAAACCTTCCATGCAAAAGTTTTACACCTTGATAGAAGACATTACTTGGGACCATAAATGTTAGCACCCAAACTTAGGTATCAAGGAAAAACTATAAGCTTATGTAAAAGTAAATGCAAAAACATGTAGAAACTAAGGACACCATAGCATCTTGAAACCACTTCAAAGAGTTTGTTTTAAAGAGGAGAACATTATACCACACTTCCAATTTAAACAGTATGTTTTTAATGTCAAAGTGCATAACTCCACACTTGACGAGGGCTTCATGAGAAACAGTAATAGGAACCCAAAAGAATTCTGTAATTGGATGAGGGAGAGTGAACTGCCGAAAAAATTGTGATGTACATGACATGCTCAAAGTATGCCAAAATCTACCATGAGAATCAGGTAAAAAGTCCCATAAGCAATTATGTCAATATAGAGCAAGAACACAATTTGAAACAATCAATTCCAAAGTGAGCATATAAGCATATAATGTAGATGAGCAATAGAATCCTACCATCATCTTCTCCACAGTTGATCGCGTCTCGGGGTCCAAATCTGACAGCTTGCTGCTTTCAGGTTCTGCTTTCTGCGTATCAATTTCAGGTTCACCTTTCACACAGCATTTCCACCATTCCATTTGGTCCTTCTTGGTTAGGAGAACAGAGATGGATTTTTGGTCCTCTGCAAATATATTAATTCAGTATCATTTGTCCTTAATAAAGCTGCATCACTGTTATTGAACAAGACTCTATGATAGTTTACTTTGAACTCATTAAGCGCAGCTACAGAGTTTGAGAAAAAACAAAACAAGCATAGCCTAACAGTACCAATGAGCTAGAAGATCGATACAAAATCCAAAGAACACCTAGCAAGTCAAAAATATGAGCAACTTACCTAAACTCCAGAAACAATCATCAACTTTCACAGGTCGATATAGTTCTCCCTGCAAGCACAAAGGAATGAAAGTCAATATATAGCAAGTGCAAATTTTGACTATACAATTTGAGATGAAACACAGGCACACACAATATAACATCTTTGACTACCAAACTAAAGAATACACTCACATCAATTATGGGAGGCTGGCCCTTTAGTCCAACTTTAAGACGGTTCCTTGATATATCACAAACAATGAACCTTGATTTTGTTCCAGCAGGTACGGGAATATTAACATTTACTTCCTGTAGTGATTGACCCCATGAGTAGTTCTCAAGGTCAAGGCCATTGTTGTTGTTAGGAGCTGCAGGACCTGCAGATGTATCATTAGAGAGGGCAGTGAGAAGTTATGGTATTGCACAAGAAATGTTGAACTAATAGCAAACAAGACATTCAGACCAATATAAAATACAAAAGATTGTATCAACACTTTACATGCAATTCAAGATTTGATGCACTACAATTATACAAACAATGACATATCATACAATTGAAGTTAAAAGGGCCATCGCGATTTATATCAGTATCCTATCAAAAGGTATACACATCTAAACTGAAAGTAGTTAACGTCCTCTGATGCCATATCAAAACCAAACAGGATAATAAGTAAAAGGAGATAACATAAGGGCCTGAATATGAAGCTTATTTCAGCCAAATTTGAAATATATCAAGCAAAGTCCTCAATCATTTTGTAAAAACCAGCAAACAGACAGAAACTCTTGTTGTAAGGACCTATTTGTCAATTCAAATTTGAGAATAAAGATACATTTAATGAGTTAATCTGCCACTTCTAATGCATAACAAATTTTGAATAAACAAACTTTTTCAATGCATACTGAAAATAGTACATGACTGCATAATCTGATAATCTTCAACAAACTTGTAATCACCAACAGTTTCTAATTCAAATTTAAAACGGCTATCTAACTAGTACATACATTAGTTCATAAACAATTTAATATGAAAACTTCTAATAAATTTAAAAATCCATACTTGTTGACTCAAAGGTTTACATCTTATAGGATAACTCACCATTCAAGTCAGTCATTTTACACAACGCTTACTGTCCTCTTTCTAGCCTAATTGGTAGTATTCCCTTTATAGCAACTAATCATAGACAAAACCCAAATACAATTCAAACTTTTACCTAGTAGTGAAATACCTCTCTGTCCAACTAATATGACACTCTTCCCACTTAGGAATATCCCCAAAATGTTGGTACTCTTGAAAGTTTTAGTAAGTTTATTTCTTGGTAGTTGTGAAAATTAAAGAAATGGAAGAGTATAAACATTTAGCAGTCCCTTTTTAGTAACTAAATCATAGACTAAACTCAAATATAGTTCACAGTTATGACCTAGTCGTGAAATACCTTATTCATACGACTTATATGACCATCTCCGCATTTCAGAATATCCCCCAAAAGTTGATACTCTTCTATTTCTTAATCTCTCACAACTTTCAACATATCAAATTCACTAAATCTACTCAAATTATAAAATGTGATCACTATTGCTGATAAAATCTATGTCAAATTTTCCTCATCACCACACAAGTAAACATCTATAATGCCATATCTAGAAACTAGAAAGTACCACTGTATAAGCAGGACAGAGGAAGTATGTCTTTGGTTTCAAGTTCATAAAAACACTACGAAGAACTTAGTATTAGGCTGTAAAACTTATATAAATCCAACATCAATTTCAGTGAACTATAGTAAATGACAGAAGTGCTATGTATCAGGAACAATAGATATGCAGAACATTCAACCCAAAGACCAAAACTTTACTTGAACAGACTTCGCCAATGGCCAATGTAGCAGTATATAAACAATCATTCCCTAAATAACTAACAGAATTCATCCGATTCACAGTAAACGTTACCTTGAGAACCATTCTTGTCCTCCTCCTTAGCCTCCTTCATAACTTCTTTCCCTTTTGCCTCTTTAACCTCTTCCTTCTTTGCAGCAGCAGTTGCAGCAACAACTGGAACATCCTCCTTGACCTTCTTTCCCGCCGCCTTTGAGTTTGATGCTTCTGCTTCCACTTTCCTCTTGCGCTCCTCGGTCAGCAGCTTGTCTTTCACCATACGAACAACAGCATTGACATCATTAATCAATGAATCACTCTTGAAGAGATCAGATTCCCGGCCGACGAACTCGAACACGGCTTGAAGAAACCCTAGAGGATTAGCAGGATCAAGCACGGCCTTAAAGGGCTTTGACGCCGCCGCCGCCGCCGATGATGATGGTGGTTTGCTATCTTGCTCCTCGAAATCAGAAATTATCGCCATTGGATTGATCGAGAAAATGGGGATTAGGGTTTTGATGGATTGAAGTATAAGAAGAGTGCAAAATGAAACCAAGTGCAGAGACTTCTTGTGTTCAAATGTAAGAGACTCAGGAGAATTCCAGAAGACCGTATTTATAATTATGGAAAAACAATTGTATAATTTAAGATTTTAGAAATTTACATTCTAAATGTTTTTCAAATTTCAATTATTAATCCATTCTTTTTTTAAAATTTTTTTTATCCCTAAAATAAATTTAATATAAATTAAGAATTTCATTATTTACGGTAGGGATGTATATAGGTCAGGCTGATTTGATTTTTAATTAAAAATAATGAAATCAACTATGCCAGTTTATGAAAATTTTAATTTAAATCAAATTAATATAAAGTCAGTTTTTTTGGTTTTGATTTTAATCAGTTCTTTCATTTTTTTTATATATTTAGTTTTTTCAAATTTCCTACAATTACACCGTGATTGAAAAGAGAGATCAAATATATTTTACATGTGTGAAGACTAGAACTTAAAAATGTTAACTGAATAAGATTCTTCAAAAAAATAAAAATATTTCCAAGTATATTGTTAACTTTCAATCTGAAATCTATAAGAAGATAATTGTAACATTTGAATACAAAACAAAATGTTTACAAGCTCAAATTTGAAACAAAATATCTAAACTTTGAAAAATCAAATCAAGAATGGTTGATTTTTTTTCTCAACACAAACTTAACCAAATAACTAACCTGATTTTTTTCTTAGATCTAACTTAATTCGTCGCTTCCATTTGGCTTGTACACCTTTAGTTTAGAGTTTAATTGTTTGGTCTTGAAATACAAAGTGTGTTTCTACACAAATTATCGAAACAATTAGCTTCAATAAAAACTAAAAGCATTCTCCAAAACATTTAAACGAAAAATGAGAACAAATTACTTAGGTTGCTTAATTTAAATATAAGTTATGCAAGGATATGGTGAGTAAGATGGAAATTACTTTTTAAAATTAGTATGTAAAGATTATACAATGTTGAGTTTATTTCTCATTCCGTATTTACTTTGATGTATTACATATTAGTACATAATGTGACAACAATAATACATTTAGAGTATTCAATACGAGGAAATTTGGAAAGGGTAAAACATACATAATTTATACCTCTGGCTTAGGTAACATATATCAAAGAACATATAGAAGAAAAGATATAGAATAAGTACTAGAGGAAGCATCACATACCATACGGTATCAATAACAAAGTAATGTGATAATCAAAACACAATCGATATAGCATCATAGATTGTTAGACAGAGAACTACGTTAACCTACTAATACTATTGGTATACAAGAGAAACATGTACGAAGTATCAAACTACCACCAAGCCTAACCTAGCTACATGAAAGTTAGACAACATTTAATTATAAATTTGGAATAAATTGATATTTTGCGATAGAACTCGAAAACACCTAAATGATGCTTTATATTATTCATGTCCATAACAATAGGTTACCCTTAAAATAATAGTATAGACCGTCAAGATGGAAAGTCGTTGATGATTTGAAATGCCCATTGTGTTAAATTGAAAATGAATCCATGAAATTTCTATTATTTCGTCAATAGTCACGATAGCTTGAAGCAAGTTCAAAAAATCAAGTGTATAAATTTTTTACTATAGATGAATTTTCACCGTATAAGGATTAATAAGTTCAAAAGATACACAAAGGATTAATAATTGAGACTATGTAAGTTATCGAAGGGAAAAAACAAAAGATCCATGGGCTTACAAGAGGAGCTTAATTTAATTGGACCACTAATTATGCAAGTGCAAATATTTTCAGAATATCTATGACATGCGAATAGTCGCACAAATTTAAAATTTAAAGTTTATGATTCCTATAGCGATTTTAAGTTAATATAATACAATAACACATGAGTTCACAATCAAAACGTTTATAGATATTTATTAAATATTTCAATACATGTATAGAATTTGAAAAAAATACTACTTTATTTTGTAAACCCACACCAACCTATTAAATCCACCACTGATTGATGATATTCCAACAACAAAGAGTGGAACAAATATGATATTGAAACAGGTAATTTCAGAAGTTTATTGTGGAGAATCAAAATTGCACTCACTTCGTGGCGCTTTAATTTGTATAAAGTTCAAAATATGAGAGTCAAAAGTATCTATTTTTTTTTTTATATAAATTCTTTAATTTCTTAAAATAAAGATGTAATAAAAGAAAATACTAATTAGAAGGATTCTTTAATATTTTATGATATTTCTCTTTTCATTAAATATTTATTTTATTTAGATACTTGTAGTTTTTTAGAACAATTACTTTATTATTTTCTAAATAAAGATAAAAGGAAAAATAAATAAACAAATTTTTATCTTAAACTTCAAAAATGATAAATAATTCAAAATAATTATTTTGAAGAATCACATTAAATAATTTGATATGGAGAGTTGATATTGACATGTAAATTGAAACACAGAGAATTATATAAAAGTTTCAGAGTTGTACAATATCTTGCCAACAAAAAGAAAAGAAAGAAGAAGTAGCAAGTCTGGTCATTTGATACATGAGATAAGGATAATATCTGGAGATAAAATTTAGAATTGATTTAACCTCATCATAAAAATAAAATAAAATATAATATAATTACATAAAATATCTCAAATTCAGAAAATATCTTTATCTACTTCATCTCGTCTATCAAACGACCAAGAGACTAGATTTATACCATGTCTTGTTTAGTGACAGCCTCTTTAAACATCTGAAGTGAGTCTTGTAGGTCATCACATAGCTGGTATGGATCTGGAATCACTTGTGGATCTACCGCCATTGATATTGTCATTTTATTACAATAACTTTGGAAATGTATTGTCACAGCCTGCACCCATGCCAAATTCATAAATGACATCATATAAATTAAAAAATAAAACATTATTTTATTAAAAACTTGATCAAACAACTTATGAGATCGACTTTTCAAATATTATTTGAAAAGTTTGAAAACAAAATTCATGAAAGTTAGTGGTGAGTATATATATATATATACTAACATATGGGAGTCCAACAGTTGTAGGAGCAACATAAGCCAATTTATGGCCATAAAATGTGATTTCTTCTTGAGGCCCAACCACGTTTGATATTAAAACCGTGGTGCTCGATAGAATTCTCCTTGTCACCTTTGCCGCCACCTTTCATAATAACAATAATAAGATTTTACTTGGAAGTTGTCAAATTCAAATACGATAAAGATGTGATATTTCAGGATAAATCGCTATGTTTTGATCTATATTATTCATTTCTACTATGTTTTTAAAAAATAATAATTACTCTATAAATTTGTGAGAATATAACTTTTTTAAATAGTTTTAATGATATTTTATCTAATGTACAAATATTTTAACATATTTAATATCATAAGTTTTATATACATGACGTCATAAACTCTAGTAATTGGGGAGAAAAAAAAAAACTCACCTTGGTTCCGAATATATCTTGGGTTAACTTAGCAGCGCTAAAAGAGAATCTGGATTCAAGAGAGAGTTTTTTTCTATCGATAATGGTTTTCGCTTGTCGGATATAATCCAACGGGTTATCGGGTAAGCTTATGGGTAATCGGGTCAACACATATCCTATTTTATTGCCCCATCTTGCCTTTGATTTTTTCTCCATCATCTCTGCTAGAGCCTGCATACATTAAACAATTTTTTTTAAAAAAATTGTCATCTTACCTTAATTAAAAATATGTATATTATACTAAAAACATCCTTAAATCATGTAATATAAGATAAATATGTCATGTCGAATGTTATTAGAGATCTCTATATATTTGCTTGGACCATCAGAAAATGTCGATAGAAGTATGTCAGATTTTAAAAATATAATGTACTTTGGAGGACCACATTGATTTTAAAGATCCCCAAACATAGATAGGTGAAGGTACAATAATGAGAATATTGCAATTAAAAACTTACTAGATATAGAAAAAACTAAAAGAAAGTAAGATACGTTAATTGAAACAGAGATAGTAAATATAAAGGGATTGTTGTTACTTTAATTCCAGTAGAAGGTCTTATGTTAAAAACAATAGATCCTCTAAGACGAATGTTCTTAGGCAAATTATTTGTCTTGCTGCTTCCTTTTCCATTCTTGTTACCTGAGCATACACCACATTTTTATTAGTAGTAAAAATTAACATGTAATTAAAACCCAAAAATACAAATTGAGCAAGTAATTAATCTGAAATTCATATTTAAAGTTTGGTTAATGCTTAATTTAGGGTAAACTTATAATGAAGAAGTAAGAAAGATGCTTTCTAAATGGACCACTTTTTCAAGTTCATTTTAGTTGTCGTGCTTACTAAAAATAATTGATTCAAAAATCAAGATACAATAAGCATATATTTTTACCTTTACCATTATTCAAAAAAAGTAGAAACAAAAAAGTAATATTCATTAAAAAATAAAGAAAGATAATTTGATCAAATTATTCTTTTAAAGGGCGAACAAAAAATACCACAAGTAAAATGAATTGGAGAAAGTAGCGTAAGTAAAAAGAAGCATGATAAAATAAATGCATATAGAGGCAATAGTTTGACCAATAGCTAAATACTCAGAAGAGCTAGTAAGGTGTAATTAATTAGGGAGTAGTGGAAAATACAGATACTGACCATATCTTCTATTGAGATATCTTGAGAAACCAGCTTGTGCCATGCCCATCACTACATCATTAATTGTCTACAATATGTAACATAATTCAAGTAATAAATAAGTTGCAAAAAATAATAAATAAAAAATTAGTATTGTTAAAGGAAAAATAGATTGTGATGCACTGATGGGAGTGTTTCACCCTTTAACGGAAGTTGTATTGCATATACCCTGGGTATGGAAAAAATCCAGTTGGGAGCCCCACCCCCGAATGGGCCCTGTAGTGCGCGATCCGGATTTAGTCGGAGCTCCAATGTGGGCTCCGGACACCGGGTGGGAAACCAAAAAAAGGAAAATCCAAATCCAAATCCAAACCAAGCTATTATACAAAGGCAATGCAGACTATAATTTTTTCAAGTATACAAAAAAAAAAAAAAGTGTCACGTAAAATGAAGCAGCAACAAGTGCACATACCAAGTTTAAGGCATTCTTGACTATTTTCATGTCATCAAGGCTAACAGTTGTGTGCACAAGTCTCTTAAGACTATGCTCAACTCCAACTCCTCCTTTCATTGGTGTCTCTGTATCCTTAAGAAACAAAATAGTTGCCAAAAACAAAACAACATCCACAATCGTATACCAAAACACCATACACAAAAACCAAACATAGTAACAAAACCTCCTTAATAATCCAACATCATTTTTTTCCTTAATTTTTGTACTTGAAGGTAAAGTAGGCAATGCTTCTGGATCCGAAGCTTTTCGAGTACACGCCAAAATTAACGATATAATTGACATTCCATCACCAATTGAATGGTGCAATTTTAAAATCCCAATAGCATTTGCTTCAGAAGTTTTGATGTTTAATATGTGAACTTCCCAAAGTGGCTTTGTCATGTCTAAAGGTATTGTTGTTTGATTCGACGTATACTTCTCCAGAAATTCGTCTGGAGAATCCATGTTCGGGTCCAAATCCGGACATACTATATGTTCTTCCACATTTACCTTCGTTTTCTTCCACTTCCTTACACATTTCTTTTCATCCACCACCTTTTCAAATAAAAGAAAATATGGTAACATAAGCAAAGAATGTGTCACTATAAAAAGGTGTAGAGAAGTATAAACTTTTATAGGAGTAATAACAATAATGTCTTTCCAGGATTTGAAGTTTGTGAGTTTATGTACTTATCTAGTGGATTTCTCAATAACTATATATATACAAATTTTGGACCAAAGTTACTAAGTTTTGACGAACTGGTACTTTCCATGCTAGCTACCCCTGATTTTAATTAACCTGTTGTAGGACGTAACTTATTTTACTTTTCAGGTAATTTCCACGAGGGATAGAGCTATATATATGGTTAAGAGGAATCAAACTCCCTTCAACGGAAGTTGAAGTTGTATTGCATATCTATATATATATATATATATATATATATATATAATTTGTTGAATTCCTTTTTATCTAAAGAAATATAGTGGTTTTTAAACACTTTTTTGGACGTGCATGTCAGTATATAAAAGTTAAACTGAAAAAACTAACTTGTGTACGTACCGGTATACTAGAGAAGCGAGGGTGATTGAGGAGAGTAGACTCGAGTCCTTTCTTGATGACATCGGGGTTGATCTTTGTAGTGCAACCTAAGATAGCAATAATGTGACAATTGAGGTTTTTTGTATGGAACAATCGCGTAGCTGGACTTGCTGGCACTTGTTCTTGTTCTATTACGACCACCGTGCTATTTTTCTGGCCATTAGTGTTAATAGGTTTAAGACCAAGGCTCCCCATTGCTTTGGTGTATACAAAATTGAAATAGCTAAATTAGCTTTTGTATACATATATTGATATACATATATAAAAATGGTAATGGCAGCCTATACATGAAAATAGGTTGAGATTAAAAATAGTCGATGTAGACCATACTAGTTATTGCATCTATTAAAGACGATACTGGTTAGAAAGTGAAATAAATGGGCATACTGGAAACTTCTGATTCGGACGGTTAATTACTTCACCCGTCCAAATCCATTATATTAAAAATAATCATCCAACAATAAAATATTTGTCTAGTTTAGAAATTCAAGATGTAGTTTACCCTTTTGTGTCATAGAGAAAAATGACAAATATACCCCTGAACTATCGTAAATGAATATGCAGATACCCTCGGTCATACTTTTGGAACATTGGTGCCCCTGCCGTCCAAAAACTAGAGCATATATACCTTTTATACTAACAGACACACACGTGTCATAATCTTATCCACCGACCCGACATTTATTAAATATCTGATCGACGAATAAGATTTTGCCACGTGTCCCTATTTAGTCTTCCGTTAGAGTGAAGGGCATATATGTTCTAGTTTTTGGACGGCAGGGGCACCAATGTCCCAAAAGTATGACGTAGGGTATCTGCATACCATTTACGATAGTTCGAGGGTATTTTGTCCTTTTTTCCTTTATTAAATATTGTATTCAATATCTAATACATTTCACAAATTATTAAATTTAATATATTCATTTTTGACACCCCTAGCATCAGTTAATGGGTTGAGATTAAACACAATTCAAATTATCTTAAGCCCAACCTTTAAAATTCTGGACGAATTGAATAATTACCTATATTTGGGCTCATTTTTGACACCCTAGCACCGGTGCTTAATTTAAGCAATGAACCTATATATTAGAATAAAGGGAAAAAGGACGAATATATCCCCAAACTATCGTAAATGGTATGCAGATACTCTCCGTCATACTTTAGGGACATTGGTGCCCCTGTTGTTCAAAAACTAGAGTATATATACCCTTTATAGTAACGGACATACACGTGTCATAATCTTATCCACCGACCCGACATCAGATCGACGGATACGATTGCGCCACGCGTCCCTATTTAGTCTTCCGTTAGAGTAAATGGCATAAACACTCTAGTTATTGAACGGCAAGGGCACCAATGTCCCAAAAGTATGACAAAGGATATTTGCATACCATTTACGATAGTTCGAAAATATATTTTTCCTTTTCCTCTATAATAAAATAGACACATTGTTACTAAGCATAACCATTCAATGATTTATTACTAGACACTATATTCACTTTTTTTTGCCAGTTGCCACTTATATTCAACTTTGCATTTATGGATGTTTTGAAGATCTCCAATTATTTAGGGGAGAAACATTTAATTTTTCTCCCTCTATCAAATTATATTATTTTTTTAATACCACATCTGCTTTTGATTGAAAATAATAACACCTTATACCAACTTAAGTCGGTGTACATAAATGATCAGCAGTAACATACCAGTATATGATCACACATGGAGTCTGAGAAAGATGTGTACGTATATTTTATCTTTATTTTGAGCAATATAAAAATTATTTTCGATAGATTTTTGAGTCAAAACTATTTTCCTCCCTAAAACTAGTTTGAAAGAAATGCATAAATGTTTGATATTTTTGGGTGAGCGATTGCCTCATAAATATGAGGAGATTTTTTTACTTTTATAAGAGGCTGGTTGGTGAAGAAGTTTTAAAACTTGCTGAAAAACTAGCCTAATAGTTGTCAATTTTTATTTATTCACTATATTAAAAAATAATTGTTCATTTTTATTTGTCCAGCTTCAAAAGTTAATAGATGATTTATTATTTAGTTTCTAATTACTTTTATTATTAATTATGGTTATTTTTCATGGATGAATTTAAATCATTAAAATCAAAAGATAATATAATAAAATTGTCATTCTATTTTATTACTTCTTTAGGAGGCGTGTCAAGTAGATATTAAATAAGTAAAATTAAACTGAGAGTAGGTTTTACATTCAATTGAATTAGTTGTGTGTGATTGATAGCATTTAATGTACGTAACCTTATCTGTACTATTTTACCCCATCCATATTAACTTAGGGCAATACTTTTTTTTTTTTTTAAGAGGTATATTTTATTAAAATATTTTTGTTAAGAATATATTGGAATTCTAAATTTAACTAATATTATTTTTTATAGTTATTTAATACTGAGAATAGTATGGAAAAAATATAGTAATTTTTTTTAATTTTCTAAAATGAACAAGTAAAGAAATAAATTAATTTTGTAATATAGAATTCAAATAAAATAAAATGAAGGAAGTATTGTATTAGCTTATCTTCTTCTTTAGTTCGATCGGAATGGTCGACCACCAATATTAAAATCAGTTTTTTTATTCTTTAAAAAATAATGCACTTTCTTTTATAAAAATATTGATGTGTTTTATCAAAAAGGAAAACTGCTTTTGAGAAATAATACAAATTTTTGCTTTTTTTAAGAAAAAAATAGAATTAATATTTTCAAGATAAAAATATTTTGATAAAGAATTTATATTTATTTAACTATGTCTCAATTATTTAATTCATATATCTATTAAATATAAAATAAATATAAATATGATCCTCGCCTCCTCTTTGCTTGTGTTGTCTTAACTATATTTATATTCCTTAAAAAGCTTAAAAATAGAAAAGTTAAGTACTGGATCTGAATTTAATCGGATTCCTTGTAAAGATACTAAATACGGAGTGAGAAATTCAATTTTTTTGGGACAAATTAAACTACTGATACTTTTTTAAGGAACCCATCATAGTGAATTCCTTTCCTCGTGATCGGCTGAAGGTGTTGGAGTGACTCTTGTTCTAAATTAACTTTATATCTGACCTCTCAAAACTGAGGACGATATCTATTGGATCAATGTAATTTAATTTTTATAACATATATTTACGGGTTGTTGTAGATCAACAATAGTACTTAATAGTATTAAATTTATCTACTTACCATTACTTTTCGAAAAGTTGCATATTTAGTTCATCGGTCAAAAATATTTATAATTACTAATCAATATATATATATATATGATTTGTCGGCTATTTTTTGAGCGGATGATTTTAGGCGTATTTATATGTTTTTAAACGTTACGTTGTTTGCATGTCATGTAAAATACATCCTACTTATGATAATTACGAAGTATTGTACTAATTGAAGTTTGAATAATGCATATAGGTAGGTACTTTGAGCACGAAAATTCACTTTTTGAGGAAGAAAATAGTTTGAGAATGAAATTGGAACCTATGGAAAGCAACACTCAAGGCTAAGTGTTAAGAAATAGTAAAAATTGTTTGGAGCAAATATTAGTATTACACGCAGACCACTAAGTGATGAGACCGTGCAAATAAAGGCAACGAGGAGTGCTAGCCGGAACTGGACAATGGGTGGGTGTCCAACAAACATTCCTTAGCTAAGAAGAATTCATTCACCGCAGCTTCTCTTACTAGCAGATGAAACTAGCAACATCACATCATATAGAATACCGATTGACAGGCATTCAAGTCTATCTTATAGTTTATGTTGATGATCTCATTGTTTCCGCGAGTGCATCCTTCATTTCCAAGCTTTATTTCTATCGTAATGACGGATGTAGAATTTTTGGCTTGTGGTGGTCAGAGGCGGTTCCATCTTTATCAGCTTGGGTGCATATGCACCAGTTAACTTCGAAAAAATCACGTGTATATATGTCTCTCTCTCTATATATATATATTAAGAAACTGATAGAAATTAAGATATATATTTAACAGTGCACCCATGAGGAGAATAAGAGTGTCCTTGTATTGCTGGTATACAAAGAAGAGGAACCACCTCTGAGACCAGAGTTTCGAATCCAGCTAGAGCATTATATCATTATTTTTTTTAAATTTAGCTTAAAGATCATTGTTATTAGCGCAAATCGAATTCTTGACCTTTTTAGAAACACAACCTTCAAACTAGCTACTCAGCCAAAAGACCCATCAGGAGATTTGTTCACTGAACATTTAATATATTCAATTTTGAAGAAATTACTATATATATATAAATAATTTTACATCGAATGGATGCTCGAACATTCGAAATAGATGATGAGAAATTGACCAAGTGTTGGGCACCATAGTAGGCGTGGTGCGACCTATATCACTTCTAAATTAATCGTGAGCGCGATGATTAATTGTGTTCATCATAAATTTTTAGTATGGGGCTCAAAGAAGAAAGTTACCTCTGATAATTAACTGTGTTCATCATTAGTTTTTAAAAATTCGATATTTGACTGTCCCGTCATTTTACTACTTGTAGACCACGTACACTTATGTATAGGTTTGATAGCAACATAATTAATTAGCTGAACTACCCCCAAAGGTTATTATTTATTTTCTTAAAAAAGAAAAGGAAGTGTCTCTTCGTATGTATATTTAAGGTAGAGATATCAAATAATCAAACATGTTGATGGCGACAATTAATGAAGGGGACAAACAAGGAGGTCTAGAGGTAGCTGTTGAAAGTTGAAATTATAAAATAATTTAGAAATAAAAATAAATGCACTATTCAATTTTAAATATGACTAGCCATAAATTTAAGACGAAAATTCGTGACAATTCATTAAAATTGACATTAATTTTCACTTAAATAGTTAAATAGGGCATGTTCATTTTATATTAAGAGTTCTCATTTTGACACTTTGAGGGTGTTTGAATTTGTTCAAAGTTGGTCAAATCTACTTTTAAGTCAATTTTGGAGTGTGACAAGTATAAAAACAACTTAAAATAAATTAGAAAGTCTTTGACAAGGATAAAAATAACTTAAAATAAGTTAAAACTAAAAGTAGTCTCCCTTACCTCTTTTTTTACTAGTCATTTAAGTTTAATTTTTTATTTTTAACTTAAAAATTACTCCTTTTGTCTCATTTTATGTGAGGTAGTTCGATTCGGCACGAAGTTTAAGAAAGTAAGGAAGACTTTTAAAA